GGAGAACTATATATATATATATATATAATGGCTGCTTTCACACAACCAAGGCAGAGTTGAGTAGTTACACCAACTGCATAGTTGAATAGTGTGATAAAGTTCATACGGCCCACAGAGCTGAAAATATTTACTACCTGGCTTTTTACAGAACAAGTTTACCAATTCCTTGTGTAAAGAAAGGAGGGACATGGAAAGCTTAAAATGCCCAGCAATCAATTGTCTGTAACCGTAAAAAAAAAATCCCCCCCCCCCAGGAATATAGCTTAAGCAGCTATTGGAATTATTCTAAGAGCTGGTGAAATTTTTTATTCCATTTAATAAAATTGCATTTACATGCAGCTTTTCAGAAGCACACGCTTAAAGTGTGAGCAAGTTATTAAGCCCTTGACTGTCAGTTTCAAATCCACCCTTTACTGGGCTCTGTGGTGCTGTAGCTGGCACTCTGCAAACCACGCATCAGCTTGCCAGCTGCTTTTCACTAGGCTCTGCCAATAGGAGGTGCTAGAGGAAACTTTCAAGCCTAGAGGAGGAAAATAATTTTTCTCCTTTCGGTTTGCTTTTATTTCTGTCAGAATCTTAGCAATGCTTCTTTGTCCCAGCAGTGGCAATTTATTCCAGTAGCAACAGTTGATTCCATTTTGAAATTTTGCTGCTCCTCTCAGAACCAGCCTCATTGTGTACCCTTGGAAATATTGTCACTTTTCTTAGAGGTCTGGGTTGCAGCCCCCTGGGCCCCTTCTACAAGCTCAGAGACACCAACAACCAGCCAAGCATTGCCACTTCCCCAAGGCCTGAGTCCCCTCCTTCAAGCTTCTAAGTTTCAATAATGTCAACTTATTCTGCTCCTCCTTCTCCTGCTCCTCCTCCTCCTCCTCTTCCTTCTTTCTTTTTTTTACTGAACCATAGAAGTGATCGTACTTCCTACAGTTGCTACATCCATGATACATGATTCCTTTTTGCCTTTTTAGATTTTATGCCTAGGAATATTATTTATGTTACATTATCTCTGTTAATATTACTGGTGTGGTTTCTATTTCCTGTGTATGAGAGAGCTATTGTCTTTCTAAAGGGCTTAGGTATTATAAATTATCATTGTACCTTATATTCCATAAAGATTGATATTCAAACAGTTGTGTGGGAAATGGAATGTTAAATTTGAAGATATTATGCTCTCTCTAATTTAATCTACTTACATGTTCATTAA